GGGTGAACCGGCGGGGGGTTCGGTGCTTTGTGTCCCCGGGGAAGCCTCTGCAGGGAGGAGGCTGCTGAGCTGCTTTGCGCTGCTGCTGCAGGAGCGCGGGTGCCGCCCGGTGGTGACAGGGCCACCCTCCTCGCTGTCACTGCAGCCACACGGGGCTGCTGCCAGAGACGCTCTCCAGGCAGGAGCATCCCCTGCACCGTGAGCGCTGCCTGTCAGGGGTGCTAGCACCATTCAGGGGGGTATTGCCCCGGTCCTGGTGGCCTTGCTGCGTGTTGTCCCCAGCTCCTGGTCGCCCGGTGGCTGGGGCCTTCCTGAGCTCTTCCTGGCTGCTCCCCAGCTGCAGTCCTGGGAGCTTTGCCCACGTTAAATCCCTCGGGCACATCGGAGCCGCTGCTGCCATCTGCCACCGGCGCCTTCCTGGAAGCTTGTTTCGTGCTTCGTGGCAGCTCTGTCTTGGTGTCCAGAGCCAGCGGAGGGGCAGATTCCCTTCTGTTGATATAAGAAGGACAGGTTTTTCAGAGCCATCAAGGGCTGGTGCTTTTCCCCAGTGTCCATCGTGTGCTCCTGCTTGCCCAGGGAAGTCTGGGGATGCTGTGGCTTGGGAGCTCCCTGGGAGCAGCAGGTACATGCCGAGGTGTTTCTGGGCTCCACAGAAACGAGCTGTGCCTGCCCTGCTTGCAGAAGGGGGAAGTTTGGGGTTGAAACCTTGGCTTTCAATCCCCAGATGATGTTTTGCCAGCAATCCAAACAGTGAATTGAATCGAAAATTGAGCAGGGTTCACCCAGCCCTGCACAAAGCCAGAATTTCCTGCTGCGTGGGGCCTGAGGCACTGCCAGGAGCTGCTCATGTGTCTGAATCTGCTGGAAGCCTCCCACATCTGGGCTGGGCCAGGGCTTGGGCAGCGCAGTGTGGACCAGCCCGGCTCAGTGGCTCATCCCTGGCAGTGACGAGGATGTGAGGCATCCCCGAAAACCCTCAACCCGTCAGCACCGAGCCCCGGGAGGGCTCAGCCCCTGTGGTGTGGGGCTGCGGGCATTGGAGGGGTGAGAAGCAGCAGAGTTGGGCGATGCTGCGACGCTGGGGCCTTGCTGCCCTGGGCTGGGGGGCAGCCTGAGGAGAAGGCACGAGCACGAGGCTGCGGGAGGGGACAGGGCCCCAAATTAGTGCTTATAACGCTACCCAACAGGTCTGACTAAAAACTTGTCCCCCTGGGCCTGTCTGGAGCCCCGCGGTGAAGGTTTCTCCCGTTGCTGTTATTCTTAGCCGAGCCTTGACCGCGCAGGTATGCTGAGCCTGGCAGCTGAAACTGTGACTCAGTGTCCCCTTGCGCCACCCCTATCTCCTCACCCCGCTAGGGAGCAGCTCTGGGGTGGCAGATGGGGGCTGGCCTGTCCCCAGGGGTGACTGCGGCCCCAGGGCCGGCGTTGCTGGGAGGGAGGAGGGATGGAGGCCGCGGCTGCGCCTGTTCTGCCCC